ACCCCACGTACATAACATAAATTTTCAATGAACATAATAATAAAAACCAGTGTGTTTGCTTTGGTGTCATTTCTTTTTCTAGAAAAGAATTTGTATGGTCCTACATCATTATTATGGTATAATTTTATATAAGTTATAATATCTAATTACAATATGTTGAAGCTATCGAAGCATAATAGGTATCAAGCAAAAAAGTATAAGTATCACTTTCAACTGATAATGATGGTTATATAGGAATCATTATGTACCCTTTAGTTAATCTTTTTAATTATTAATTAAAAAGAGATATATGCATACATACATATATATATATATATACACACACATAATATATGTGCCTTTTTTAGGGTAGGATTCCTAGAAAAATTCCCTACCACACTAGCACAATTATAATAACTATCTTTTGCAAAGATTTGGAATACAATTATGATTATGCTTGTATATGAATATGCATTAAACATTAAACATGTTTTGTTTAAATTAAATTAATCAAACTATATTAAATCTTATATTATGTATATAATGTGTGTAATTTATATTTATAATATAATATATATAGTTTTTATTAATTTTTTTTAATTAAAATAGAAAAATATTTTGGTCCAATCACTCCTTACTAGATTGAACGTACAATTTTAACATATGTAATTTGGATCTTACTTCAAATATATTTTTACCGACAAAATATTATTTCTTTAAATTAAAAAGATAAGTTGAGTATTGACTTATTATGATTATTATAGTTACGAATACTTAAATACTATTCATATTCCGTCTTTCATTATATTTATGAATATACTAACGAAATAAATATTATTCCTACTACAAAAAAATACTATAAATATATTATCGTTAAGTCATAATACATTTATAAAATAATAAATTATACGTTTTTAAATACGTTCGAGTTCCTGATTATCAAGGAGAGGGTTGAGATCTTCCCACCAATAATCTACTATTCACTAAAAATATCAAAGACTAATTTATTAATTCATTGTCATGCGATATACATGCAATAAATTAATAATTTATTTATTTTTTTATACGAGTTTGAAAATTAATAAAAATTAAAGTAAAATTTTTAAAAAAATGTTGATAAAATCTTGTTAATGAAAATACTTTTATAAAAAAAGCTAATAAAATAATGTTATAGAATTCTAAAAATTTTTGTAATTATATATTATTATAATAAAAATATAAAATTGGGTATTTTGAAAAATTATGGACATAACTATACTTATACACTATAAATCTAGAAGATGCTTATATAATATTTAACCCAAGAAATTGTAAATTGTGAAGGGTAAAGTTTTGAATAAGGATGGAGGGTGAAATCCACATTCAAAATTGTGACCCACAAAGGAATTTGTAGTTTGTCCCAAAGAGGGAATGGGTCCATGCTTCATCATGATTAGTAATTAATAATTAATACAAAAATGCCCCACAAATTGAATTCCAATAATTTTTATAAAAATTATTTTTAAAAGTTAATCACGAAAATAAATCTTGTCCAAATGAAGGAAGCAAAAAATAGATATTTATCAGGTAACAGTAACAAGTTCATGTAAGACAGAGACAAAATGTCTTTATAACATAATATATTTATTAATTAGAGAATACACATATATCAATCATGACATAATGTACATAATTTTTAAATAAAAATATATAAATAAGTATGTAAGACACAAACAAAGTAGTTTCTTTCACATAATATGTATATAAAGGAATATGCCCCAAATCAGACAAATTATAATAGAATTGAATATAATACTACATTAAATGTAATATTCGGTTTCGAAATTTGGTTCAGGATTAATTTTGGTATTTATAAAAATAAATAAGATCTTATACAATAAAATATTTATCAAGTAACAATAACAAGTTTGTGTAAGACATAGGCAAAATGTCTTTATAACGTAATATATTTCTTAATTAGATAATATACATATATCGATCACGATACAATATAAATAAATTTTAAATAAAAATACATATTGAATATAATACTACATTAAATGTAATTATCGGATTCAGAATTTAATATGAGATAAATTTTGGTATTTATAAAAATAATTAAAAAATAATTTTTTAAATTATTTTAATTTTATTTATTAAATTATTTGAGAAAAATAGAGTATGGACATAATCGAAAGCAATTTTGAGGAAAATGGGTGAAAATTTGAGTTTGATGAGTGTTTTTGAAAGAAGAATTAGAAAATAATGGGTCAAAATATTAAAAAAAATTAGCCATGTGGGATGACTCAGTCAGCAGCCCTAATGAACCAGAGCACGTCGCGTGGCAAAATACACTGATGTCGGCACCACACGGGCGATCCACATGCTTAGCAATCTGGCGACCTAGATTCAATCCCGCACAATCAGACGACTTAGATGCATTCCCTCATTAGGCGCGATTGAACGGATGACTCAAATACATTCCCTCATTAGGTGCGATTGAATGGTCCAGATTCACCCACGTAATTGACCTAAACAGGTAAAGATCTAACGACTCTCCTCGCTCTACGTTGACATGAATGAATAGTCCAGATTGACATGAAATAAGTATATAAACATCGTATCGCTGGGGAACCCCAACTCTAGCTGCCCTACCCTCGTCGGAGAAGAAGGACCAGCAGTCAGAGAAGGACACCGACCCCCAGCCGTTGCCATACCGGAGCCACCACTGACTGCTAAAAAAGATAAAATTATCTCATACTCGCTTGGAATTCGATTCCGAGTCTCTCCATAATTATATCAGGGCAAAAGAGGTAGCAGGTGGGCCGGAAATCGCGGTCAAAATCCAATAGAGTAACTGCGACTGAAACCCTAAAATCCCTCATATGAGCCCCTTTTTGTTTTCCATTTCACGCAATTTTTTGACCATTGTTTTCACCATCTTTTTTTATGCAGATTAGCCAAAGAAGTCCTACCCGTGAAGGAGAATCGGCGGAGCCGCCGCACCAAGAGACCTCCCTGTTGGTAGGTTCGATTTTTCGTGATTTCCAGCCAACCAATGCCTCTTAACATTTTTCCGCAGGGGTATGTATAAAACCGGTCAAAACCAATCAGATCGAGACAAACCGCCACTGTGGGCGGTGGATCCGACGTTGGAGCACGGGGGCGGTGCCATGCTGGAACCCTAAAATTGGCCGGAAAGAATTTTCGACACCGATTTAGAATTTTTGGGGTATTTTTAATTGCGTGACGAGTATTTTGAATTTTTATATAAAAATTTAGAAAATTCGGGACTCGTTATAAGGCGTAGTAGACAACGCGACATCTTGAAATACCGATTCGGGTAAAGATCTTTCACCATATTTCCTGTTACGGTAAATGAATGCTTAATAATTGATAATTGTGTGTTTTGTAAAAATTAAAAAAATCCTAATAATAATTACAGGTCACTAGTGGAGCCAAAAAACTTGTCAGTGTACGATTGTTCTAAGCTCATTTATGTGGCTATTTATTTTTATGTACTGTCTAAATTGCTTATTGTTTCGTTGTATAATTTAAATTATCACATTTAATTACTTTCTTGTTATTGATTGCCTGATTATAATTCTTATTTGATTGACCGGGTTGAAAATAAGGGTTCTGAGTATGTTTCTTGGTTATTAAGGTATGAAATTGTATTGTTTGCATAACTCTCGTTTAATTAATATGTGAATATAGTATGAGAGGTTGGTATGCACTTGGTGTTTGTTTTGTTGATAAAGATTTTACGTGAAAGACCTACTGGGTATTCTAGGAAATAGCAGACGGGCCCGGTACATAGTGAACTTTACCGTAAACGTTACCTCAGTTGGATATGACTGAAAAGTTCTATATCAGAAGAGTTTAGGAAATATGGTTTACCTTTATACCGGACGGGATATCAAGACGATAAAATATTTGGCACCCATTACCAGACGGGATATGAGGATGACCAGTTAATTGATAAATTTAGATATTTAGTTCAAGCATAAAGAGACATCCCTATGGATTCCCAGGGGTACCAATGAGCAAGTAAGAAAGAAAATTGTCGTTTCTTGTTCACTTGTGCGTGAAATTGAAAAGTGTATGTATATTGGGTGTTTATAGGGTGATTTTTGAAAAACTCATAACGGTAAGTATGAAATAAACGATTTTCTTTTATGATAAATGAATTTTATTTAAATTAAGGGATTCATTAGTTATTTTATAATTTTTACCAACTTTTGTTTTCCGTATCAGTTATTAGCGTGATATTTTTACTAGGCTAATGTAGCTCACCATTCTATTAACTATTTTAAATCAATAGAATCAGGATTCAGATCCCGATCAGTAAGAAGGTTGTGAGTAGTTTACCTCTCGTACTTCTTCAATAGCTAATGGAGGTTACCCTCTAAGACATTTATCTATTTGTTTTAAATCATTTTTTTTCATTCTTTTTACTAGCTACTGTAGTAAGGACATTTCTTCAACTATATTGGACATTTTAATTTAATGTGTGAGGAATGTAAACTTTAATATTATTATTTGCTTCCGCATTTAAATGATAAATATAATTACTTTAAGTTTTGGTCTTTTACATTAAATTCTTACTCAAAACAATATACATTATTAAAGCTTCTTTTATATGTTTATATAAGATAGAGATAAAATATCTTTATTAAATAATATATTTCCTAATTACAAAATATATATACACTAATCATAATACAATGTAAGTAACTTCGAACTAAAAACAGACCCAAGAGGTATAAATGAGCCAGTAGGCAATGATAGAAATAAAATATTTCTCTCACCGATAAAACAAATTACAAGTGTTATTATTTTGTATTATGGTTAATATATATGTATCATATAGTAAAAAAAAAGCATATAATTCCCAATAAAAGTTCAAAAAAAACAAGAAAGGAGAAAGATATACACATGATATGTATGTAGAGGAAGGGAGAGAGAGAGAGAGAGAGGTGAGTACAAAAGCAAATGGAATACAGTCTGTTATCAAACAAACCCACTTACTCATTACAGACTATACATGCCATCCCACTAATACATACTTACAACTCCCTTTCCACTCCTATATATACACCCCTCCTTACTTCCACCTTCCCCTGCCTCCTTCCACACTCACACATCTAACTGACACAACAATGGAGAAAATCCACCTCCCCAATTTCTCTCCAACCCTAACCCTTACCCTAACCCTAACTCTCTTCATCCTCTCCTTCTCCTCCGCAACCCAAACTCTACCCACCAAGTCCTGTTCCACCCAAGACCACGGCTCTACCCTCCAAGTCTTTCACGTTTACAGCCCCTGCTCCCCATTCAAACCCACCAAGCCAGTATCATGGGAGGAAAGCGTTCTCCAAATGCAAGCCCAGGACCAAGCCAGGCTGAACCAGCTCCTCTCGTCCAAAGTCGTGGCTCGTAAGTCGGTGGCGCCCATAGCGTCTGGCCGGCAGATCGTGCAGAGTCCGACTTACATTGTTAGGGCTAATGTTGGGACTCCGCCGCAGACGCTTCTTATGGCGGTTGACACGAGCAATGATGCTGCTTGGATTCCCTGCAATGGCTGCGTTGGGTGCTCTTCTGTTGTTTTTAACTCTGGTTCGTCTTCTACCTTCAATCCTCTTGGCTGTGACGCTGCTCAGTGCAAGCAGGTACCTTTAGCATTATCACTTCATACGTCACGTGCTGTTGTACTTTTTTGGTGACCCCTTGAATTTATTTTGGAATAATTAATTATAAACTAACTATTTCAGGAAGGTACAGGAGTTAAAAAAATAGTGATTTTTAAAAAATAAAAATTAATATTTTTTAATTTGTATAAATAATTAAAATTAAAATTAAAATTTTTATAAACAATTATGTGAATAATCCTTAGACTAAAATTATATTAATTTATAAATAATTTTTTTAATTTTTTAATAAAAAATTATGATTTACAAATATGTTATAATAATAATTGTGTATGAATCTCATAATTATTGAATTACGTAGTATATTTACTAAAAATTTAATAATATTAATATATTAATTAATTATTTATGGGATTTAGTAATGGGTTATACATTTATTTATTTAGTTAAAAAATTAAATGTGTGAATTTTATAAAAATATTTTAATTATTATTTTTAATAAAATTTATTTTTAAAAATTTTGATAAAAAATTAGATCTTTGAATATTATTAATTAATTATTTATTTATTTATTTTTCTTCCTGACAGGTCCCCAGCCCAACATGCGGCGGCGGCTCCTGTTCCTTCAACATGACGTACGGCGGCTCCACCCTGGCCGCCAACCTCTCGCAAGACACCATGACTTTAGCCACCGACCCGATCCCGTCCTACACCTTCGGCTGCATCCAGAGAACGACGGGCTCGTCCGTTCCGCCGCAGGGACTTCTGGGACTCGGCCGAGGATCTCTCTCTCTCCTTTCTCAGACTCAGTCTCTGTACAAATCCACTTTCTCTTACTGTTTACCCAGCTTTAAGTCGCTGAACTTCTCTGGGTCTCTGAGACTTGGGCCTGTCGGACAGCCGTTGAGAATCAAAACTACTCCTTTGCTGAGGAATCCTAGGAGATCGTCGCTTTATTATGTGAATTTGGTTGGTATTAGAGTTGGAAGAAAGGTGGTGGATATTCCTCCTCCCGCTTTGGGTTTTAATCCCACCACCGGCGCCGGCACCGTTTTTGATTCCGGTATTCATCTTTTTCTTATTTTTTATATTTATTTAACAAATTTTTAAATAAATATTTAATACAAAATGTATTGACGTGATTTAATTTTAAAATTATTTTTTTATGTATACGAAAATAAATTCGAAATATATAACGAAAAAATATAATAATTTATTTGTATACAAATTTATAATTTTATAAGTGAAATAAATATATTTTAAATTTTATAATTTTTTATTTAATGTAATTATATTCATATTGAGAGTTTTTCAACATAAAATATTTATAACAAGAGACAATATTTATATAAAAATTCTAATACTTTATTTATATAGAAATTTATAATTAATTAATTTATACGTGTATGTAAATATATTTATTAAATTACGTTTAATTTTTATAAATTTTTTATTTTAATATTTATTTAATATATTTGTGGGTATTTTAAAATTTTATTTTTTAATATAAAATATTTATAACAAAAGTTTATTTTTTATTTTGTTATAATAATTTTTTTTAATTTTGTTCTTAAATATAAATATATTTATTAAATTACGTTAAATTTTATACATTTTTTATTTTATTTTTTTTATTATATTTGGGATTTATTTTCTAACCATAAAATATTTATAAATAGGGACGGTGTTTACTCGGCTGGTAACGCCGGCGTACGAGGCGGTGAGAAACGAGTTCAGAAAACGAGTTAAAGGCGGGGGAAACGTGACATCTTTAGGTGGATTCGACACGTGTTATTCCGGCTCCATTATTACACCGACAATAACCTTCATGTTCGCCGGAATGAACGTCACTCTCCCGCCAGACAACCTTCTCATCCACAGCACCGCCGGCAGCCTGTCTTGTCTGGCTATGGCCGCCGCTCCCGACAACGTGAATTCCGTCCTAAACGTGATCGCCAGCATGCAGCAGCAGAATCACAGAATCCTCATCGACGTTCCCAATAACCGGCTCGGCGTGGCTCGTGAACCCTGCAGCTAGCTAGCTTAATTTTAGCTATAATCTTTGATGGTGTAGTAGTAGTGGGTGTGAGGCTTTTTTTTCTTTTTTGCTTTTGTTTTTTTTTTTTTTTTTTGTTTTCCTGTGGTGGAGGTTTTGGGAAAGTGTGATAGTGTACTGACTGGTAAAAAAGCGAAGGGTTTGGAGGATGAAGACGAAGATGACGAGGGATGACGTGAGATGTTCGAAAGTGAGTTCTGAGTCACGGGTTCGAGTTGGGCGTTGTGGCGTATAAGGTGTCTTGATGTTTATTGTATTGTATTGTATCACGGGGTTATCTTGAAGGAAGAGCCTTTAAGAGATTATTCGTCAGGAATTTTCAGTTCTAATAAATTATGACATCATTTTGTTTTGATAATAATAATAATAATAATAATAATAATATCAATTATCATTATTTTCTATTTTATATTTCTTTATTTTTTTTATAAAATAAAATAATAATTATTATTATTTATTATTGCAATTTTATATTTTATTTTCTTTATTTTTGTGAATTGTTATAAAGATGGAATTAAAAATTTTATTTATTTATATCATACTAATATTCAACGATATTAAATAATTTATTATTTACGTCTGTCCAAAATAAATATGTATAAATTACATTAATTAGATTAATAAACTTTACGAACTCTATTTAAGTCTCGTTATTGTATTTTCATTTGTTTAAATTTGATAGAACATTTATTTTTCGGTGTTTGCTATTAGTATATTAAAACTCGATAACTTATTTTTTATTAATATAATAAACTATAAATTATTATAGCAATGTTCTTATACATCTTCTATAACTTATACTAATAAAAATATTATTACTAACAATTCAGAATTGAACGGATCTTATATCAGAAATTATTAGTACCCATATACTCTTAGCAATCCGAAAAAACTAGAAGTTCATTTCGTTATTCTCTTTATGTGTCTATTGACCTCATACCTACTCGTATTCTCTTTATCGAATTAATCTTTTAAGGCATATATGACTAATCCTGCTTGCTCTTTGCCATAATTATTTAGAGACGTCCATTTAGTTCGTCTTAGAGAATAGAACTAAAAATTCGATTTCGTCTTACTGTAGAAAAGTCATTTATTCAATTTTGAATGTCATCTTTTTTTGTTTTGTTTTTGATAACTACTTTCAATTCCTTTGTTCAAATCAATATCTACGTAAGGCTACCACGAGGATTGAATTTGGAGATTATATAAAGAAGTCAAAGTGACCTACTACTGATATTGCTCGAATGATGCTTACATTCATGATGGACAGTAATCGAACAAACGTTATAATTCTACTGAATGACATTCAATATATTTTTATCACACACGTACCTGACCTTTAGTTTACTGGGCTACCTCTCTATATTTTCATAAGTTGAAGGTTCGAGATTCGGATATACTCGAGCATTTTGTTTCGTGTTTGATTTTTCTTTTTTAAAAAAATATTTTTACCTCTACACTAATGGAAATTGTAAGTGAAGGGTAATGTTCTTATTTTGTATAAGCCCTATTAGGTCAAATTGAAGCCCATTCTCAACTTATGACTTGCAGAAAGAACAAAAGCAAAACCAAAAGCTGAGCCTATCAATGCACCAAATGAAAGCCCAAGCTTTGATCTCCCAAACTTGTAGAAGATCCAACTCAAATGTTTGAATCAGTGTCCACCGGAGGCTAACAGTGATTCTGTCGATCACTGGAAATCAGGAGAATATGCTGCTTCCAATCCAACACAGATATTCAAAGTGTTTATGTTTTACTTCTATGGCGAAAATCAAGAGGCGATATGTATCCAATCACGTAATAAATTGAGTGGATCACGGAGGAATGGAAGATGGTGGAATGAAAGAGAAAAGAGATAGATTCTTTAGCAATGGCTGCTGGTGAGCTGAGCAAGAGGCGAGTGGAGGATGCTGGTGGAGTAAACTTCAATTAGCAGGTAAAAAAAAGAACAATCAGGTTCTGGTATGTTCTGAACTCTGGAATTTTTCTAAATGAATCGGTGGGGGTTGCGACTGAATATTTGCTCGATAAGTTGCGTCTTGTTTGCTTGAAATTTCTAGGGTTTGGGCAGTATACTGCCGCGATTAGAACCATAAAGAGGCTGTTAGGGCTGACTTTGACCAGTTTAATTTCTTCTGATGGCAACAAAATTGTATAAAGTGGAGATGGAGGATGTGAAGAGGAAGTTGGATTATGCTTTTGGTTTTGCTGTAAGTTGTAGGGAAGGATAAAAGTAGAGGTGGAGGTCTTTGTGTATTTGGGATGATTCAATAATTATCACTGTTTTATCTTCTTCAATAGATCATATTGATAATTTAGCAGTGGGATTAGGGGACACAGAAGGGAGATTTGTGTGGGGAATATTTTAATTCTCATACTTGATAATTGATTTCTGGTCTTAATAATCAATCTGATGCTACTTGGCTTATATGGGGAAAGTTTAATGAGATTATGAACAGAAATACAAAAAAAGAAAGTGGCACAATCAGGGATATTGAATCTATTCAGAACCGTGTAGTGGTTTGTGTGATGTGGGTTATCAAAGGGTATAGATATACTTGGGAGTGAAGGGAGGATAGATCCTGAGAATAGAGCGGCTTGGTTGGATAGATTTGTTGCGTCTTAAATTATTTGGTAAGATATTTATTACGTTACGGCTTGATCATGCTCGAGTTAGGATGGTTTTCTTGGAAGAGGATAAGTGAGGTAGAGATAGGAGAAATTGTTTTGGCTTAAGGAGATGTGGTTGAAGGAAGAGAGTTGTGCACAAGTTATTCAAGAAAGTTGGGTGACCCACCAAACATCGTCAAAAAGATGAGAGCTGTGTCTCTTAATAATCAATCTGATACTGGTAGGCTTATGTTGGGAAGTTCTAATGAGATTATGAACAGAAATGACAAAAAAGGTGACATAGTCAATGATATTGAATCTATTCAGAACTTTTGTGGAGTACTAAAACTGTGTGGTGGTCTTGTATGATGTGGGTTATAAAGGGTAGAAATATACTTGGGAGTGAAGGGAGGGTAGATCCTGAGAATTCACAGGCTTGGTTGAATAGATTTGTTGCTTCTTATGTTCAACAAGACTTTCCTAATTAATTTGGTAAGACATTTATTACGTTACAGCTCGATCATGCTCGAGTTAGGATGGTTTTATTGGGAGAGGATAGTTGAGGTAGACGATAGGAGAAATTGTTCTGGCTTAAGGAGATGTGATTGAAGGAAGATAGTTGTGCACAAGTTATTCAAAAGAGTGGGTTGACCCACCAAACATCTTTGAAAAGAGAAGCTTGAGAGCTGTATGTCTCTTAATAATCAATGTGATGCTACTAGGCTTATGTGGGGAAATTTCAATGAGATTATGAACAGAAATGAACAAAAAGGTGACACAGTCAATGATATTGAATCTATTCAGAACTTTTATGGAGTATTAGAACTGTGTGGTGGTTTCTATGATGTGGGTTATCAAGGATAGAAATATATTTGGGAGTGAAGAGCGGATAGATCCTGAGAATATACAGGCTTGGTTGGATAGATTTGTTGCTTCTTATTTTCAACGAAAGTTTTCTAAATTAATTTGGTAAGACATTTATTACGTCACGGCTTGATCATGCTCGATTTAGGATGGCTTTTTTGGGAGAGGATAATTAGGGTGGGTAGACAATAGGAGAAATTGCTTCGGCTTAAGGAGATATGGTTGAACGAAGATGGATGTGCACAAATTATTTAAAAGAGTTGGGTGACCACCAAACATTTTTCAAAAAGAGAAGCTTGAGAGCTGTATGTCTCCTTAAAATGATGAGAGCGGGATGAATTTGGTGGTGTTGCTTTAAAACTTAGTGAATGTAAATCAAGGTTGGCTTATTTGGATACCAAGTAGCCAGATCGTCTCTCCATAAACTTCCTGCAAGTAAAAGAGTATCTTTAGATAAATTAATGTAGTTTTATTACGATATACCGATATTTCTAGTTTGGGATAAAGTAGGTGTTTAGTTCCAAGGGAACAAACTCATATTTGTCTAGTGGATACAATCTGCTCACAACAAAATTTTATATAGATTTAATGTATTTTTATCTCCAACGACTCACCCAACATTCAATACGGGTCAAAATATATGGTCATCCGTCTAGTTAAATATTGTTAATAAAAATAGTAATTCATTATTCTTAGCAGTAGGTGGAGGAGACTTCTTGGTTCTTTACATTATTGATAGATTTACGTACAACAATATTAATTTTAGTGGAAGGTGCTTTAGATGCACGTGGTTTCAAATTAGTGCCAACTAATAAAGATTTCGGTTATAGTTTTTCTTGTGATGATTCGGAATGATTCCTTTCCCCATCTTCAAATGATTTTAGTTTGTTTTTATTATCATTTCGAATATAAAGCAAAAAATTTACCTTTTTTTTTATTTAAAATTGATAACAATTAAATTTATTATATAAAACTTCACTTGTTTAATACAAAACTTTGATTATTTCTACTTTTTTTTTTGAATTTAAATTCAAGTCAACTCGGAATTGTTTTTTAAAGCCAGCCATCAAATTCCAACCAAATACAATTGACAACATCAGATTTAGTCAGCCAATAATATATTTTTGTAATATATATATATATATATGTATACAAGTCAAACTTCTCATATGCATGTTTGGGCATACACTTTTCTGCATTCCCACTAATAAAAATAGTTGAAAAGGTAAAATGACGGGAGCCACAAGGGCATTTTCGTCATTTTATCAAGTATTCGTATTATTATATAAATGCAA